TTCATTCCTGTCACATTCATGCTTGGATTTTACGTTTCGGTGGTTTATGGTCGTTGGTGGCAAGTTTTCGACAACATGGGCTGGATTGATCAGTGAGTAGCTAGTTGTTTTTTGGAAGTAACTTCATAGCTAGCGCAATATTAAAGTTTTTTTTCCAAGATATGTGCCAAATCCATGATTCCATTTAGGCCTTCCCTACAAATTACACAATCTATACGAGGCAGAGATGAACGCTCTAAAATCCTACGACGTAACGTCATTCGTTATATGATCTTGATGGAAGCTATGATCTTTCGAGATATTTCTTCGCTGATTCGTAAACGATTTCCTACATTACAGCATTTAGTGGCATCAGGTACGCAAAAACCGTATAATCTAAAGCGGTGTTTGATTCTGGTTTGTGCTGTAGGTTTGATGACTGAGCACGAATTGGAGATGTTTGAAGCAGTGAAATCACCACACTCGAAGTACTGGCTTCCTATCCAATGGCTTTATTCGTTGATAACTCTGGCAAAAGATGAAGGCCGAATCCAAGGAGAATATATTTATGTTGCATTGATTGATGTGAGTACAAGAAAAGATTACAGAAAAGACAGTTTGCAGTTCGATTAAAACTCAGAACGAACTTGATGGCACTTTTTTTCAAGCAAAATTTCCAATATTGTTCATTACAGAGGATTGCCATTTTCCGTGCAAAGCTCATCAATTTAGTACTATACGACTGGGTTTGCATACCTCTCGTTTACACACAGGTCAGTTGCCGGCAAAGTCTAGTGCTAGTAGAAAAATCAATCAGCAGTGAAAAAGAAAAGTTTGAACGTTCTAATCGTGCTCAGAAGTAAAGAAAATGAGATAACAAGTACGCGACACCGCTCTCATTACCTCTAAACTCCTCACACTTGCTCATATATAAACTGCATGCGTGCAGAATACGACTACAAAATCATACCTGACGCGAAAATATTACAAAAAATGTCCAAGAATTTTCTTGTCAACGCAGCATATAGCTTAATACAGTTCGCTGGTTGGCAGTGTCAAAATTAGCCTTGACTAAGCCCCTTCTAGAATTAACCTTGACTAAACCCCTTCTAGAAATTTTCTCACTTACTATTTTACTTTTAGGTTGTTCATCTTGCTGTCTACAGCTTTTTCTTCACCATGTTATTCGCTCGACAATATCTAGAAAGAGAGGGAGTGAAGAAATCTGCAAGTTTTTCTAATCTCCAGATTCCCGATAATTCTCTGCGCTAGATCATTTATCAAAGAGATTGCAGATCGACTTATACGTTCCCATACTGTCCATATTACAATTTATTTTCCTTTTGGGATGGCTAAAGGTATACTTGATTCACTCAGTCTGGCAATAAGCACTTCGATAATTGCAGGTCGCACAAGTGTTGCTCAATGGCCTCGGGGAAGACGACGACGATTTCGAGATAAATTGGGTCATCGACCGAAACTTCCAGGTTTAGTATGAGTATTTACCTAACAATTAGAATAACACACGATACATAGCAAATCATACCTAGCTCAAATAAACCATATGTCGGCTCATAAAAACAAAAATAACTTCCGTTCTAGGTCGGTATATCTGTGGAGGAATGCTACGACCAATATCCGCCAATCATACGAGACGTATTCTGGGACACCCCTGATCCTGAACCACTTTACACTGTCGAAAGCGCAAAGCGTCCCATAAATCCGCAAGTTGGAAGCTGCGTCAACATGTTAGTTCAAAACTTATGATCGTCAACAACATTGTCGTGCAGAGCACACAGCATAAGCTTTCAAAATCAGTGTCTTCCAGGAAAATCCCCAAAAATTCGTCATTCATGGTTCGTCCAAGAAGGTCTACTTTGGCTGGATCAACGCTATCAGTCTGGGACGGACAAATAGATACGAATTATGTAAAAGTTAAGAAAGATGACAAGTGAGTACGTTTTATATCCAGAGACGAAATAAAACGGAATTTCATTGCAAGGCTTGATCCTGACCCCCTTAAACATTCGGTTTCAACATCTTCTATGAGCAACTTCATCAACAAAATCAAGAGTGGTGGCAGACGCATGAGTATGCGGACACTTCAAAGCCTGATGGAATCAAAGCTCAATTTTGTCAATCTAGGTACTATGTCGTTGTTTGCTATGGCAAGAAAGAGGACAATTTCAAATGAGAGAAGGTGCATGGAAAGCCCTGACATGTTGTCAAGGTAGGTAATCCAGCGATTAACGAATGAGACATTCCGCTAATATCTAGACCACTATTGCCGAGTTTGCTGAGCCCAAATTCTGAAGGCAACACTGTTAAACCGTTAGATGTTTCTATATTAGGCTGAGTTCATACTGATCCCGAAGTCCGGGAGCAGTTCCAGCACAGCGCTCGAACTGAACTGCTGTGC